AAAATTTACATTTTTGCGATACCTTAATTACGGAGATCGTGTAAATTTGGTGGACTTATTCATTTATAAGTATTCCAAAATAATTGTGTTAATGGAAATTTCTATTTAATTATTTTTTAATAACTATTTTTTGAGTCTTTTTTTTTATATATATAAAAAATGTGGGTCTCGATTTTGTGTTGTACGTTGGGAAATTACATCCGTGGTAAAATTGAATATCATTTTTTGTATTTTATCGATAATGTATGAAATCAAATTATTTGGTATACTATATATTTATCAATATTTCTTTTTTCATATTGTTAAGCATTTTACTCGATATTAATGAAAGAAAAATCTGGAGAATACTATGATCGATACTTAGAAAAATCTGGAGAAAATTATGATCGATACTTCTTTGTAAATATGCGTGGAACATATCAAATTATTTGGTATATATATTTATGTAAGTCGATCAATCTATTTAAATGAACAACATCATCCACGCAGCTTAACAACCATAACAAAAAGAAAATTGAGATACCCATCGTACCATTACAATCTATCAACCCATACCAAATCGCATTGTAGTCGAGTTGAATTTCTGAATAAAAATTTTAAAATAATACCTATTTTAAAATGAATATAATGTAATTTATTATTAGTTACTTGCACCATACGAGTCATGTACTAATTTTAAATAGACACGTTTTATGTAATTTTGCACAATTTAAAATTCATATAACATATTCAACAAATTAATATTGGTAAATTGTATTACATATTGATTCCATATTTGTAATTTAACTTTTTCTTTTTATCCGATCTCGGCATATCCCTAGTGATGTCTAGCACTGAGCTACTGACTTTAAAACAAAAAACGATAGTAAGGGCACTACAGTGTTCTCATACGCATGCACGGAGCCATATAAGGCCCAGGGGGGCCATGGACCCCTCTCATTTATATATATATATATATATATATATATATATATATATAAAGAAAATTACTATAAAATATGTCTAGAAATGCATAAAATATTTACAATATGTTAATAATTAAAACATATTTTCTATGTTATTTTAATCTAAATTAAAAAAAATTATCTAATTTGTTGAAAAATGTACTAACAATCTTTATATTTTATATTTCTAGATAAGTTTGTGAAAATATTTATAACGATTTACTCTTTCGGTCTCTTAATTGTAAATCGATTTAATGATATAAAATTGAGTATTTAGTTGAATTGTTACATTTTTAATTGATGTTTTTATTTTTTACTTTTTTTTGTGTAATCACATATTTTTAACGTTATTTATTTTTTCTTAAAAAATGCTCATTTGGTAAGTTTTGATCAACAAAAATGTTATATAATGTACTACAAAAGTTCAATTGAAAACAAATTTTCAACCATAAAACTTATATTTCCATAACTTATAGATGTTGAAGTTAAATTATAAATACTTGAAATGTCCCTTTTTTTTTTTTAAGAAAAGTCAGAGGGTGAGACGGATTATAAGTTTTTAAAAACTTGATGATACACATATCGATATTATATTTATAGTAAATATATTTTTATATGAAATGAGTGTTTCAACTAAAACAGCAAGCTCGTTATTTAACATTTAAAATCAGACCCCCCTGAGTGAAATTTCTAGATCCGTCACTGGTTCAGGGCATCTAAATGGTCAATTTTTAAGTGTTAACACATTGTTACTCCACCTGAAATAGTTAGGTGGAGTCAACATGTCTAAATACAATGTATTTGGAGATGTCTCATATGGTGTTGACTCCCCGAGTTAAGAAATGGACCCGCAAGAGAGAGTAAGACAGTTCGCACCCGATGAATCGAGCTGGATTCCCAAATCGATCAATAGAGAAGAATTGCGACAAGTGAGGGAATGAAGTGCGTGCCTAATAATGTGCCCTAACATGAGCCGTCAATGGATTAACATGTCATACTACTCTTCGGCTCTTTAGGGCATCTGCATTCATGTTATTCATTTAATCACCAATTAGACTTTCTCTCTCATCACATCATGTCAACATCATCATTCCACTAAATGTTCTACAGTTTAAATACTTTTCCACAATCATTAAACTCGGTATTAAATTGTGTGAGATCCATTAAATAAATTTAAAGGAAGTGGCATGATAAATAATAATTTTTTTAATAATCTTGGCTTTACATTTTCTTGTTTAAAGTGAAATGAATGACAAATGTAGGTCTTACTAGCTTTGTCATCAAATGAATGACTTGCATTGTTCTTTTTTTTTTTTTATTGGACGACAGAGTGAAATCTTCACATTCATCCAGAGTCTCACCACGACCTCCCAAGCCACTCGCCGAGCCACCCCAGGGTGTACAGGCCTAACCAGTCCATGGCCCATACGGGCTACGGGATCTATGCCCATAGAGGGGGATCAGGGGCAAAGGCAGACTTTAAGGACAACGAGAGCACAAACTGCGGTCAACTATCAAAACCGGAGGTCAACAGTCAATATTTAACCAATTAAAGAAAGTAAAAAGATTAAATCTTGACGATACACCTTGTTTATTATTTAATAGCTATGGTTGAGTCTCACATTCTCATTTTAAGAATAGAGACACATTTGATCCAATCCCTATATAGTATTTACATTTATGTATAATATTTGTTTTATATGTACTTTGGGAGGGAAAAGGAAATAAACAAAAAGTTGAGAATATAGCATAATCATAAATTCCACCACTTATAAAATAACATATTATTGAAAGTTAAATAATTCTAAATATTTTCTTTTTATTTTTTTATATTGAAATAACTTTGCATAATAATTAATAACATGTATTTTTTTAAGTCAATATAATAATATATTTATACATGTAACATATATAGGGTAATTTATTTTTTAAAAAAATAAAAAAAAAATAAGTGGACAAAAATAAAACAAAAGAAAAATCAGTAGCCCAAAATCAAATACACGTATTCTCAGAATACGTTTTAATAATTAGATTTTATTTAAAAAACATATTCTTAGAATACGTGTTATAATTAATTTTAATTTTTTTTAAAAAATAAAAAACGTTTGTTGATGTCGAAAATCGGACGATCAACTATCAAATGCGAATCGAATTATTGAATGAAAAATGAAGGACAAAATTGATGGAAAATGATATTTCTTTATTATGGAAGAAGATGAAAAAATGGAGAGAGACATCCAACCTCCCCTACTCTCTCTTGTATTGTATGGAAGGAAAAATAAAATGAGGAGCCCCTCCTTTTCTTTCCTCTTTTTGACATATATATACATGGCCCCATTTTACAAGTGGGCTAATAAAATATGTAGCAAATGGTTCATTATTTAATGTGATATGATTTTCGTAGGACCCGCTTATGACTCTTGACGGTTCTAATTGGCGTCCGTCTTCTCGGCAATTGTCGCGTTTATCGAAAGCAGTTTCTTCGTGGTATGTGAGCCATCCAATTATTTTCAACTCTGTCCGCCTCGGCAGTGGGCGGACTCGACATCTAGGAATCCGTCCGGCTTTCGCGTGATCTGTTGTGATAACTTGTTGGTATATTTATTTATCATGTATTTTCGGCTCCTCGGTTATCGGGCCATATTTTATTATTTGATTTATCATTTATTTAATCGGAGCCAAATTAGGTATCAACAACGTTATAAAACGTATTGTTATAATACGTTTTTAAAAAAAATTAATAAATAAAACGTATTTTTATAATACGTTTTACATTTTAAAATTAATGAAAAAAAATTAATATTTAGCATGTATTTTGTGTTTCGAGCTCGTTTGGGATCGTCTGAATTCGGAATTGAGTTTCGTTTTTTCCTATACGTAGCTAACGACCCCCTCTATTCAATGATGCTTGCATGACCAAATTATTCTTGAAATCTCTTGACTGACGGAACACCCGAAATCTCCTCTTCTCGCTTATTTTGCTACTATTCCCACGGGAATTCAAGTTTCTCTAATTAAATGCTCGGAACTCCGAAATACTCGATAAATGCCCCGCATGACATCATGCCTGAATTATCTACACGCCCCAACTCGATTCTCGGTAAACCGAAGTCACACGCGACCTTGCGGGACCCACGTAAATGGCTTTTTCATTTATTTTACTAATATGCACCCTCGAACTCGAGCTTCTCTAAATAAATAATCGGGACCTCGAAATAATAAATCGACGCCATAACGGCTTCTCCTCTTCTCGTGCTTTCTCGAAAGCACTTTTCATTAATGCTCGACTCGCTTATCGAGGCCCGACGGAACATCCGAAGTCTCCTCTTCTCGCTTATTTTGCTACTATTCCCACGGGAATTCAAGTTTCTCTAACTAAATGCTCGGAACTCCGAAATACTCGATAAATGCCCCGCATGACATCGTGCCTGAATTATCTACACGCCCCAACTCGATTCTAGGTAAACCGAAGTCACACGTGACCTTGCGGGACCCACATAAATTACGGGAATACATTTTACAATTAAATGTAAATTATAAAATTAGTTTTATTTATAAAACGTATTATTGAAATACGTTTTAAAATTAAAACGTATTCTCAGAATACGACCTTTTGATTTTGGTCCACATTTTAATTTTTCTTTTTGTTTTTGTCCACTTATTTTTTTAAATTTTTATTTAAACAAAAAAATCAACATATATATACTATATTACTCAAAAATTCTACAGGGGCCCGTGCCCCTACAAACTCCTGTGTAGATCTGCCCCTGGGCGGGCCTAATCCACCCAAGAGAGTAGGAGTGCCCTATCTCCAACTCCCACGATAGTCAAGATCGAACACCTGACCTCTACAACATATTTGATTAATAGGGCCACAGAAGATGCTTTCCTAGGATGTCTTCTCTACCTCTGTAAACAACGAGTATTTGCCAGCAAATGTCTGTATTTCGAGTGCTTGGGCAGGTTAAGCTCCACGAATAAAGTGAAATTGGCAAGAGAAATGCTATATCAATGACAATGTTCCATATCCTGAAAATAAAATCTGATAGGAGAAACAAATAAGAACAGTAGAACACTGTAAGAAAAATCCAATACAACAAAAAAAATCTTCCTTTATTTAGTCACAGAAGATCAAGTTCGATGAACATGGATTTATTTCACAGTACAGGTAACAAATATGCATTTCCAGTGAACCCTCCCATCATGTTAGCATAACAATCCAAAGACAACTACAGTTTCATTCCTACAGGCAAAGACCAAAATGAACTTTTACATCACTTCAGCCGAAAAAAGCCCTTTACTGGCAACAAAAAGACCAGCTCCATCGGCTCTCTCTCCAGAAATCAAGCTCCCAACCAAATTACTATAGAGCCCTAGAGCACACCCGCAATATCCTCACCAAAAGAGAAGAAAATGTTGATCTTCCCGCAATCTCATTCTCAGCGTACAGAAGCACAGATCGACTGCTGACCATAGAGCCCATTCACGCCATTAGGGAGCTGCTGCTTGTTCCTCCTCCTCTTGGTCACAAGCACAAAACCTTCCCCGTCCCTCATCTTGCTTTTATTATCACCACCACCCAAAGTGCTCTGCCTCTCGTTTCCATCGGCCTGCGTTTTCTCATCACTCGTGTAAAGAATCTCTATGATCGCGCTATCGTTCGCGATCGCCTCTGCAGAGTTGCTCGAGTTTAACTCGTACTTCTTCTCACCATCCGGAGGAGCCAAATCCGAATCCAAATCCGAAGCATTAGCATTATTATTATTAGTCTGCACCGATTTCACTATGAAGCTCAGTAGTATCTGCCTCGCCAGCTCAGCTTTCTCGGCCTCCGTGCTGCTGTTCTTCGTCCCCCTCACGACGGCCGTACCCTTTTCTTCGGCGTTCTCGACTCCAGATTCTTTAGAATCTGTAGTCTGTTCTTTCGAATCTTCTTTTGTCTGGCACGCTCGTCTAGGGACAAACTCGGGCGCGTGCGGGTTCATCGTCTTCTGTGAGGCGAAACCCATCGAGCTACGGTAGCCCAGGAACCCGGGCCGAATCCGGAAGCCATGGCTGGCCCGGTAGTACATTGGTGAGCGGGGCCCACAGGGGACTCTGGTGGTGACTGAGGGGAACCCGACTGGCTCAACGAGTGGGCCCATGGGGTAGGAGCCAGGGCTGAAGGGCTCGGCCGAGGCAGAGAGCTTTCTCCCGTTTGTCTCGACGGGCTTCTGATCAGGGCTCGAGATATTTTCTTCGGTGTCTGAGCGGGAATTTGATAAATCCGACCCTGTTTCTTGGGTGGTGCCTTCGCTTTCAGGTGACGACGAGTCATCTACTGGGACTCCTGGGGTCTCTTTAGGGCTAAGGCATGTTTGGCTGTCAGTTTTTTTTTCCTCAGTTGTTAAGTCGTCTACTTTTTCCAGTAAGGGCTTTAGAACGGTACCTGGGGCCGAGACCGCTACTTCCTTGTACGACAACGACTTGTAAGCCAGAGCTGTGAGGGTGGCCGGAGGATGAGAAGCTTTTGATATTGAAGTGGGAGAAGAATTTGAGTTTTTGGTTCCTGATATCTTTGGGTGCGGTTTGTGAGATGATTCATCGTGGCTGGATTGCTTCGTGATAAGCACGTCTTTAGGAGTAGTCTTGAATGAAGGTTTGTGCCCCTGGGAAGCAGACTCTTTTCTATAACTGGTGTCCTTAGAGTGAGAATGTGCGGGGGTTATCTTTAACTTTGCAAGATTAGGACGGTTTCTGTTGTACTTTTTAGCGGTTCCACTTCCAGAACGACTCTTTGAGGTGGCTTCTTGCCAGCCATCTTCTGAGTTTACGTCTTGGCTGATTTGTTCTGGAAGTGATTGATCGTGTATGGGTTGAGTGTCCTTCAATGGTTTTTGCGAGGATTTATTTGTTATTTTTTCCTCTCTCTGGCTGGTTTTCTCTACTATCGTAATGGTTTCTGTATTTTCAGGGTTAATGGTGTTTTTGGTGTTTCCTTCTGGCTTCTCTGATTGGGATTTATCACCGACTTGGCAAACCTAAACAGATCGTATGAGGAAAAGGAGGAAAGAGGTAAAGTTTGCAGCATAGAACTAGAGCAGATCATTTAGTAAGAAACACGTATGTAATTAATACCTTTGAGCGCCTTCTCCTCTGAGCATTTGACTCCTGATCAGGACTTATATAATCAAGGAGATCTGACACGCTGCAGCACAAGGTCAAGGGTTTTCAAGTCTGCAAGTCTACGGTATAATATCCTCTAGAAACCAAGTCAAATGGAAGTACCGTATCAATACCTCAGGTGACCTTTGCTGGCAATGGATGCATCTGGTTTTGGAGTTCCATTACGTGCGGCTTCTTGCTGTTCCAAAGCCTTCGATTCAAAGTATTCGAGCCACGCAGCAGCATCCTGCATGTACTTGGAAAGATTAAATTCCATATAATGTAATCCCTGCCCGCCCAAAAAAAAATGCCACTTGATAGGCAATTCAATATCAAGTTGTTCAGAGTATCACATGCTTGAGTTAAAAGCATTTGCAAAGGAAAAAAACTGCATTCGTGGTTTTCGGAAGCGATACATACTATTCAGAACGATAGGCATAAAAGAATCCAATATTGAAGTATCATGAGGACCACCCAGAGAATATGCATATTTTCAATAAGACCATCTCAAATATAAACATACTGCAAACAATGTCGTTGCTCGCCATTTAGCAGGATATAAACAACACTGAGGCAAAAACGTTTGCAGCTTAATAAAAGAGGCCAACGGGAATTGAATAATTGCAAACCTGAGTACGCAGATCCTCGGCTCCCAGTTTAGCCTGAAGAATTTTTAATGTAGTTTGTTCGTGTTGCACGCTAAGGGAATATGCTTCCATCAAGGAAAGAGCTATGGCAATGGCATGATAGCTGGCAGCAGTCTGTGAGATACAACAATCATTATGCTAAACGTACGAAATTCAAGATATGTCGGCATAATATCTCATTAAATCTGATAAAAAATTATATTTTCTCATTACTAGTTAATGCAAGATAAGACATGGCTATTTTGTTGTACAGTAACATGTTTGAGTTAATTAGGAAGGGGTGGTACGAGACCTGAATGTGATCTGCTCCTAATAGTCTTTGATTACACTTTAGGGCTTCATGGAGATATCTGAGAGCAACATGCACGTTCCCCATGCCTTCTTCCATCATAGCTACATTGATGTAAGTAGCAGCCGTGTTTGGGTGAGAGAGCCCGCATGTGAATTGAAGAAGGTATAATGCACGGTTGACATATCTGTACAATTCATGAAAAAGTAAGATTAGGAGTTGATGTTAAAAACTTGATTAAAGAGCAACAAACAATGAAAGATCAAATAGGACGAACATTTATTCCAATATTCCATAATTATAATAATAAATTATAGCAACTCACTTCAGGGCCAATTCAATATGTTGAAGACGATAATAGAACACAGATAGATCTCCATAGCTCTTCATCGTATCCGGATGGTCAAGCCCCAGCTCCCTCTCATTGATATCTAATGCCTTCTGCTGATATATAGTTGCCTACGCAGGAAAATATTAAAACAAAGTGAATGTGGCTCTTCCCTATATGTAATCAAGTATATAAATAAAGTCTGACATTACAATGTCAATGTCATGGAACCTCTCTTTAAGGAATAAGCAGTGTGGTAAGTTCAAAGCTGAAATGTTTTAAAGAATTCTGCTTTTGGCATTCACAAAATATCTAAAACAAAAATATTTCATTTGGCCAGGAAATAATTGGCGGGATATCAAGCATCTTACTCTAGATATTTGACATCCTAGGCATAAGCACAATTTTATGCCCAAACGTTCTTCTCTTTCCTTCATTGATTGGGATCAGTATATTATGATAATATATCGTTGGAAGCATCACAATCTCTCTGCAAGTTTCTAGTCCTTTTAAACAATAAATTGAATTTTCATACCAGTAGACTCGACAAATTTTGATTTTATGTTTGCTCATGGACGAAAAAAAGGCAAATTATTCAAGGTTATAAAAACTATATACATGAAGAAAAAAAGCAGAAATATTTTGTTTACCTGATTAAAATCTCCGGTGTGATAAAGAACAACAGCAAGAAGACTGTAGGCACTTGCCGTTATACGATGGTAAGGACCACAAACGGCAATCATCTTCGCCAGGGCCTTCAGGTTTCATGTCAAACTCAGTTTAGTAATAAGAGGCTAAAACAGCAAGTAAACTAGTTGCGTAGAACATTAATTCCAATCACCTTTGTGCCGTAATTGACAGCATCTTCCAGCTTCCCTTTGTCTAATGCAATCTTGGATGATTCAAGTAGAGTTCGTCCGTCAGCAGATGAGCACCCGACATGCTGTAAAAATGGTTAAATCAAAAATACTATGAAGCCTTGGTAACAAGAACGAACTAAAGCCATCTTCTTTTTCATAGTTATTTTCTCCCTACCTTGCAGATTGGCACTATGCTGATAATATCAGACTTCGTAAATGGAGCAGAGCTTTCCAAATCATAGTCCCTAGGGGCCAACTCCAATCCAACCTGAAAAGGAGGAAATCATTAAAAATTTTCAAGTCATTAAGTATTATATGAAATTTACTTTTATCAGTACCTTGTGACAAAGTCCCCTAAGGATAGACAACTTTCTCAGGTGTTGGAATTCATCTTGCAGTTTCCAACCAAACCGTTTCTCCAAAAATGCTCGTAGCCATTGCAATTTGAGAGCTTGATCATCTTTAACATTACAAGACCCAAGCAAAAAATTTAAGGTTGCAGCTATGGCAGTGGACATACTCTCTATGCACCCAACAGAAGCAATAACAGCTCGAACTACATGCTTAAAAGCTCGAGTAACCATTTCATGAATACAGAGAGACTGTATGTGAGGAAGCTTATCTGCAAGTTCCACCTGGTTCAAGCAGTTGAATTAAAATTTAAGCTTAATTACAGAAAAGGTAAATTGAGAGCATCTGCTTGCACACATACATACACACACACACACACAAAAGAGGGAGAAAGAGAGTCAGAGATTGTTCACAGTTCACCCACCACAGAACCTAAAGAGCGCATCCGTAAGCCTCTAAGATGCATAAAGTCGGTCAGCGTACGGCCATCAACTGGAGAAAGTTCGAGTGATGCAAAATCTGTTACCTGCAATAATAATAAAAAATAAAAAAGAAAAAGAAAGAGATTAAAAAAGTTGACAGGCAACTATGACATTATTACTTCATCAATCAAGTTATCAAAGAAATGTTACCAGCTTAGGTAAAGCAACATCTTTATAATACTCATGTGCCATCTTGACCAGTTCATCCGCTGACTGCATGTTGAAACATTTGACCATAAATATATATATATGCAATAAGGCTAAATTGTAAATGAAAATATCGAGAATAATTCTTACTTAAAAAAAAATGAAGATAAACATACCTTTGTGTGAAGGTCCAATCCAGTTTCTTTCAAGCGTAAAAAGGCCTCTTCACAAACATGATTCAGCAACTCAAAATTCTTATCACAAGTTTTCATTTCCCCAGTTTTGTTTTCCGTGTTTGGGTCCACAGATTCATCGTGAAATTCTTCATCCTTCTCACTTGCGGCCGGTATTCTCTTGTCCCTCTTCTTTAGCAGTTTAAATTGTTTCCCGAGTCCTTTAACCTCCGGTTCAGCCTTATTGCTATCCTTAGGACTTCCAGAATTGTTATCTTCTGGTGTTTCCTGCTTCTGGAGATGCTGCACCCAACAAGAACCGAGTTCCCATCTAAAACAGCTTTCTGTTGTGGGAGTATTATTCTCTAGCCTCGTCAGACTATCTTTTATTACTTTCTGAACGCATCCAGAAATTTCAGCATCTACCAGATCAGACTGAACTCTGATTGGTGATTCAGCACATGGCTTGTTTAGCATCATTCGTAAACTGTACAACATTGCGGATTAGTCCACTGGGTGCAGACAGAAACACAGAAAACTTTGGCATAATCATCATCATTCATTTCTAGTATCAGTACAGAGTATGCATAAACTATAGTTTTACCTGCTAGAGGCAATATACAATTCAACGGTTATAATATTACGTTTGCCATTTTTTATGAGAATATAAGACACGCCAGAAGGACACAAAAAGGGGAGAATTAAAACTTAAATATGACAAATTTTGAGCCAACAATTTTTTTCTAAACCGCAAAACATGCTTATAATTTGCTTATAAGGTATGACACGGAAAAAATATGTTTCTCATCAAGTAATCTTTTGGATATCCTAGAATTTGATGAATATACACTGTCGTCTACTCGCTACCTAATGCTCATCATGGCGAAAGCTAGCAAATTCAAGCATAGAATCTATCTAGCTTTTACAGGTACCATGGATGCAAACAGCTTCAAAATGAAAAGGAACCCATTCAACAAAAAGTGCATAATGATTCATCACCATCATATCTCTACTAAACATAGCCTTTTCTCTATACATGAACAAGCAAAGACAACAAAAACCTGTTAATATTAAGTGCATTAGCCCCGCCGTCCGGCTGGTCCTCAATGTCGATATCTTGTGAAAGACTCCTTCCTTTTTTCACATCTCCAACAACCTTGACAGTTGCACTGTAGCCACAATGTCTAACAACTACAACACCTAATGAGGAAGTATCCTGCAAACAAGGGCAATTGTTTCACTCTCATAGGAACAAAAAATAAAAAGTTTCACTAGCTAGGGAAGTGATGTTAGTTACTGCAGATTATATTTTATACTTAGATGATAGTAGGTAAATAGAAGGCAGAGTCATGGTTATTATTGGCAACTCATAGTTTGGCATCAGGTTGAAGAAATTTAATTCCTTAAAGGTAATCAGATGATCAGGGTGAATAAGGAACCGCAACGTTTATCTAGGAAAATTAGAGAAACAGAAAATAAAGTTCATATATTGTAGGCATCAGAATGTATCAGAATGAGGGTGACCCATTAGGAGATTTAATCTTCCACCAGAATTATGGGACTCTGTTGGAAGTGATGCTGAATTACTAAATTTGATATATATACAGGAAAGTCACAAGATTGGGCATGATGTTTTGAAATTCTGCCCCACCTTAAAGTTTTGAGTACTTGAAGAATAAAGAGCAGTAGATAACACTACAACGTCAGGCGATCATGTAAGATTTAGTGATTGGTGAGTGGGCAAGTGACCAGTTCACAGTACTGCGGAAGAATGACAACTCACAAAGTAGATGTAAAGTCCGATTCTCAAATGCAAGAATCCAAGAACTAGAATGATTCCCCTCTATTAATGTGCACCGACTAAGATTTAATTTCAAAGGATTTGCCACCAAAAAGAATAAATAAATATCCAAACTTGGGTAGAAGAGTTTGAAACTACTCACATGCACAACGACACTCTCATCGGCAGTCACTCCTTTAAGCAGATTCCTCCGCGAAACTTCTCCAACAGACTCATCAGACATTCTACCACCAACAATCTTCACCTCCCCTTTCGAGGCTGCATCCGCCTCGTCTCTTTTGATCGTAATCAAGATATCCCCAACTCGAATCTCGTGCACAACCGAACCACCCTTCCCAGCACAATGCACAGCCTTCTGTATGGCTGAGACCCCTTTAAGAACAGCAACGTCCAGAAAGAGATTATGAACCAGAAATGCCTTCCTGTCCCGAACCACTCTCTCCTCATCAGTCTTGCATGGCATATTGGCCAGGATGGCGAAATACGTTGCCCACGGCCTCAGGTCATGCTCTCCTGATCTCCCCTGGCCTCCACCGTCTCCTCCCCAGCTCTCGTCCTCTGCCGGCAATGGCACGTAATTCGATGTTGAGTCAGTAATGGAAGGAGGGGCAAGCCAGGTGTTAGCACGGAAGGCGTATGGGAGGTTACCAAACTGAAAGAGTAGAAAAAGAAACTCATATTCCTTCTTTTGATGATACCAAGATTCAGAAATAATCTTATGGCAATTCAAAAGAAAAACTGTTTACCTTATTGTGTTCGACAAATGATTTCATCAAAGATGCATATGCCTACACACAAAATGGTCGACTTCGGTTAGAGTTTTAGACAGGAACACTAGGTATAATAGTCTGAGGCAGCTAAACGCTTGTTGGCTGAGCAAAAACTCTGCGGAACATTAGCAATAGATTTTGGAGTTAACAAAAGCAAGTCAAAATTACCCACATTTGCAAAAGCTTGGCTTTGCTGTTGCAGAAGATCTACCAAAGAGTGGCTCTGCAAAAATTGTTTCCCTAAAGTGTAGAACCCTTTGGTTGATGCCATCACGTTTATTATCTTCCCATTGCATATCTTTATCTGCAACCACGTCATACGATCGTCAGTAGTGAAAGCTCAGTACAACTCACAGCTGATGAATTACTCAAACATTGGACATTTGCACAAAGGAATGAGTTGGTAATTAGCTACCTGCATTTCGAAGTAATCGCCGTCACGCAGCTTCTCTCCAATTTTACTTTCCACCCTTTTCAAATCTGCAGATTTAAAAAGCCAATAAGTTACATGCTAAAAGAAGGGAGAGCATAAAGCTGAAAGCTAACAGGAGAAAGCTAGGAAGAAACTGTACGCACGCAGAATGGGTGGAGAGAGATTCGAGAAAGAGAAGAACTCGTAGAAATCCGAAAGTTTCGGAATCGGTTGAATGGCCACCATGTCGTAGACAGGGGAAATCGCCGGTGGCCGGGTTTTCGGCGACCGAGATTCTCCATCCGACGAGGCAGCCGCCGACGCCGCCGTGCTCCTCTGGGCTTTACTTTTCTTTTGACGAGACTCCGCGCCGCCGGCCTTGGGCTTGGCGAAGCGCGTCGTGCACGCGACGATGTCGAGGAGCCTTCGAACGTGGGACACGGCCCGTGACTCATCTGCGTAGTCCTCTGCGTCGACACAGTGGCAGATTTGTTATTAAAGGTGTATAGTGCGGGCAATTACACAATGTTTGTGCACCAATAGTTGAGTGCAATTATCTCATATGTGTGGGTGCACCAGTAGGCCATTAATAATGACGGTATGCACACGTGTTGAAGATCTAGCGGAAAAGAGTTATATGGGCTCTTGGAAAGAGATGTATAGAATAAAACGTGGTGCGCGGATCACGTGTGGGATATAAAAATTATAAAAAGTTCACCTTGAAAATCGCTTAACAATGACGTCCTTGTTTATTTATTTCGCTTCCTTTTAATTATTCCCTCCATGGTAATGAATTTTGAAAAATATTATTCACAAAAAATTATTCAGATAGACATACTATTTTAATTTCAGAATAATAACGATCCAATAAATTGTATTTTTACGTTACGGATATTAACTTTAATCACATTTCTCGATTTTCCATTTTTATGAAATACCGAAGATAAATAATTTAAAAACAAATAAGATAAAGTCTTACATTAGAAATGACCAACTTAACCTCACGTGGCAAATGACCCATTTTTATTAGTTACTACATGACTAAAAATGTCAATATGTATTACGGGCGGCTTAAATCTGTTGAGAGGTTTTAAGATATGTCAGTTGCAAAAAAAATCTAAGAACGTTGGAAATGAACATCTAACTAAATATATAAACCCATGCGTTACACGAGACCTGAGAAACCAAATTGCGAATCTCAAATATTTGTTAACCAATTTTATAATATTATGTATAACAATTTGTGCTGCCACATAAATTTGTGTACTAATTCTACATAGCATTAAATAGCATCATTAAAAGAACTACAAATTGTCATTTTCGTGGAATTTCAAATTTCTTGTTCTACATGCTGTGAATAAAACCAAAACGGAATAGATTTCTTACAAATAAATTTGCTTTGAAGTACTATTATAATGGCTAATTATAAGACTAATTCTTTAGAGGTTAAGGCTTGAAAAAGCCATAAGAGATTACAATATTTTATTGTTTGTAAACGGCTTAACCATTATGCAACATATTCTTTTCACAAATTTATACAACTCTATTAAGAAAATATCAGAATTTAAAATATAGGTCAAAATGCATTTTTTTTAGCAACCACTTTCGTTAGCCGAACCTATACTTATATTAAAAGGTATACCATTTACCAGATTTAGTATAGAGAAAAGTCAACAACATTTATTGCAATACTATTTCCGTATTATACAATCTATACTTATATAAAAGAAGATTCTATTTACTACATTTACTATCCAGAAAAGTCAACTGCATTAAATGCCATTACTATTTTGATATTTTAATATTTTATTTATTTAATTGATTTATTTATTTATTTTATTTTAAAAAGGAAAGTATAATAAAAAGATTTTAATAATAAAAAAATTAAATACCAAATAAAAATGTACACTTTGACTTATTTGATTATATTTGGTATTTGATTATATCAAATATATTCCTATTTAGTATATACATTAAATACTTACTAAAGTATTTATTTGTTTTATTGGTCAAAGTTAAGTATAGATTTGCTTATATTATCAAAGCATACAAAAATATTAAATCTATATTATAAAAAAAAAATCATATAATTTTGTAACAATTCTACTACACTATTTAACAATATTTTTTTTATTATATAATAAATTAATAATTAAATATTATATGGTGAACAATAATAAGTAAAACTGTTATTTTCTCCTATATCAAAGGATAAATTTATATGCTAAAATTAAATTTTTATTCGTATAAATGTTTTAGTGAGATAATATATTAATTATTTTACAAGCTAGCCCTAACATGCTCATATTCAATGTTTTAAAAGATGTATAAAAAAAAACTTATAATAACTCTATTGTTTTTAGACTTAAACTTAAAAGAGGTAAAAATTCCTAATTTTGTAGACTTAACCGTTGATTAACACCATAGATTGAGAGTTTATATTTAGTAAATTCCTAATTGTAATAAAAAAAAAATTAATTTTTTCTATATTTTAGAATATCTTTAAATTCATTATAAAAAAAAAGAAAAAAAAAATACAATGAAAAAAGCAAGTCAGCTATATATCAATTTGTTGAACTCCTCAAATCACATTCACAATTTGGCTACAAAGAAAGGAACTCATAGATTAAAATATTATTTTGTCAGTAGTCTTAATGTACAAGACACTTTAAGGCTCCACTTGAATATTATAAAACTTTTATTGAACATTGTACAATTTTCTTGCGTATTATAAACTTTTATTGAATATTGCATCTTATAATATAATATTCTCCAAATAAATATATCTCGTGCTTCGTACAGGTCACGTATTATATATATCCTGTACATTTTTCTTTATTCATATATATAATTATAAACCTGGATAAATAGCCTTAAAATTGTGCACCTCGTGCATCGCACGGGCTCTGTACTAGTTAATAATATAAAGATACTATAATTTTTATTAATGAAATAACCCAATAATAATTAAGTGACCTCGCAAAAGTTTATGAAACATTTGAAGGTTGTAAATTTGTAATAAAGAATCTGAACTGACTTAGGAGGATCTTATGCCACTGCTCAAAATAGAGAAAATCTATTAAAATATGTCCAAAGGCTTTCTCGAAATGCAGCATTAAACGTTAAAAAAATATTGCACAATTAGATGCGGTTTCATTTATAATTATTTATTTGTAAAAAAGACCAAATAAAATATTAAAAAAAAATGGAATTTGAGAACTAAAATCAATATGAAATAAACATATAGTAGTAAAAACTTAATGTGAAAACACTGAAAATAATAATTGGACATAATTGAAGAAATCTGAGCAATTAAACAATTTTATATTTTTTGAAAATTATGTAATAATAATTTATAATGAATTAATTCACTAAGTAAATAGTATTTTTTTTTAAAAAAAAAAATGAGTGATTGTTTGCAGTGGCAGCCTGATTTCTTTTGTTTTATTCCCTGATTCCAAAATCCAAATAGGTGAAATGCTTTTGACTTTCCTTTCTCAGAAAATAAATTATAAAATTCCAACTTGCCCGATTAATGCAGCAGTCTAATATAAATTCAAAAGAAAAACATTATAATATAAGTTGCTACTACTAGTGTCCCAATTGGTTGGTGCCTCACATATAATAAATTTAATAACTATAGCCGTAGATATAAATACTTTTCGCAGTAAGTTAAAAAATAAGATACTTAAAATATAAAATTTCATATCAACAGATATTCACCTATGAATTCGCAGTAAGTTAAAAAATAAGATAACTTAAAATATAAAATTTCATATCAACAGATATTCACCTATGACCATCTCGCACTAATTTATAGACAATTATATATATATATATATATATATCATAGACTTTGCATTAATTATTAATGTGAAATAATCTAAAGTATTGCTTTTACATAGAAAACCATTCATACTTGTTTATAAAAATGTATATTTTATTTTAGCATATATGCAGCATTTATGTTCTTGAATGGTTTTCTATGTCTATTTGTCCTATATGTTAGTATATTTTAGCATTTATGTTCATCATACTATGTATATTTTATTTTAAAATATGAAATTGAACATAAAAATATCCATACAACCTAAAAAATTATATTTTTAAAGAGAAAGAGAATGCAAACACATTAAGAATTAGAATATAAATACAATAAAATATGAAAATCTAATATCATGTCAGCATAGCCAAACAAATTAGAAAATTTCAAATGTTGAAAAACAGAATTGATGTAAGCTTTATTTGCATTTTTNTTGCCCGAAACATAGAAAAAGCAGATTGTACCAGCTGGTCAGAAACTTGTACCTACCTTCAACCATTCTCAGCAGGCACGGCTTGAGGCTCACAACATCCAACTTATCACTCAATTGATGTCCCTTAACCTGTTTTTTTCATCTCAAATAATTCATTGCAACCTCACATTTTGTCAGTGGTGTAACCAACTGAACTCTCAAAATAATGGACAAGTAATCAAAATAACTACACACACACGCACGCACACGTGTTTGTGTGTGAAAAAAAAAACCGGGTTCACCTCGTGGGAGAGAGAATAGTCTGTAAACTGGCACGTCTCGACATTCACAGCAAGCAGTTTCTTCACGTCCAATATTTTGTCAGTTGAGATGCCCTTCATTTTTATTTTTATTTTTCGCAAAACATAATTAGGATAAGTAAATTAAATAAATAAATATTTGGGATTAATTAATGAGTTAATAATTAATCATAGAGAGCTCTAATTTGGATGCTTATTTAATTAATTGCGGAAGTGCACCTTGAGAACAACTTGAGTGTNAAATTAAACAATAACAATAAAAAAAATTAAATAAACAAATTGATGAGAAATTAAGAAATTCGAAAGTCAAACCTTTCTCTTCTTTCTTCTTCTTCTCATTCTTGGCTTTGTTCCCTTTGCCCCTACTTGACCTTGGGGCCATTTTTCTCTTCAACTTTTTCTTTTTAATTGGGCTCTAACTAAAAAAAGCAACAAAGTAAAAGGAGGAACCAAATTTGTACCAATCAAAGGAATCTTAAGCTAAGAGATTTTGGGCAGCCATGCAAAAGAGAAAACTGAAAAGGAGAAATTGAAAAGATGAGAGCAGAGAGAAGTTAGAGGAAAAAGTGACCAAGTAATGAAATGTGAAGGTTTTGAGAGGAGAAAATAAGGATGTAAAAGAAGAAGATAGGATAAGGAGTGGGTTTTGGGGTTTACTGTGTGAGGATTTTGCTCTAACAATTTCTGGCCTCTCCTTTGCTTCTACCTCCGATAATCCAATCTATCTATATACCAGATAAATAAAATTAAATAAAATATATAAATAAAAAGGAAAAATAAAAAACACAGGGCTGCCAATTTTTCTTACACTCACTCTCTTGCGGGTTTCTCTCTCTACACAATACATGTGAGGCCTGTAATAAAGAGCTAATGGGACAAAGCAAAGAATTGGTGGGAAGATCGACCGTTGGATGCGAGACACGTGGCGAGGTGGTGATGGGAGGTGGGTCTGCGGTTCGGTTCGACTGTGCGAGCCAGGCTGGGTCTGTTTGGGTTTTGGTTGGTCCAATTGATGGCCTTTGCCCTTATTAGTGTTTGTTTTATGCTTTTTAACTTTATTTTTTGTTTCCTTTTATTTTGGTTCGTTGGTGTGGCTATGGGATTTGTAGGTGGTTTTTTTAAAAAAATAAATAAATAATAAATAAATAAATAGGTGGTAGGGACTTCAATTTTGGACCGTCCTAATATTAGGGCGAACAAAATTGGTTGGTAAATTCACTTGTTCTTATGTTTACCATATTAAAGTTTTTCTTTTTATTCTAAAAGAACACTCCTTTCAAGGGAGGAGATAAGGCAAGACCTTCAACCTGTGTATAAATATGACCAAGGTAAGCTGAAGAGTCATAGGTCAAACAGAGCAAAACAATTCGATTACTGTACTAAGGTTGAAATGTGGTAAGTATTGATCCAAAGGTGAGTACAATCACCAACAAAGTCAACTCCTCCTTAATGTGAGTAGTTATAATTGTTAGAAATTCAATTATAAATATATGGGTTAGAACTGAATTTAGATTTATTTTATTATGACTAAAAAATTAATTCGAGTGAACTAAAAGGTGTGTTAACACCTATTATGTTATAAATTATAATTGGACGTGATTAATCGTTTTGTAGGTTATTAGGTGAAGAATAGATGTGTTAACACCTAAAAATGATAGGTATAATCGGATCGTTTTGAGCCTATTTCATCAACTATTTGTTAGATGTTACAAGACATTAATGTCTGCTTGAACCTATAAAGTGGAACTCCTATAAATATGACATGTTTAGAGTTGCAGAATCACAAACATAAAACTCATAACATTATCACCAAAAAGATTATTACACAATATATGAATCAAATCTTAGTTTGAAATTTTAGGGAGATACATAATTGCGCTTAAACAGTAAACAATGAACATTCACTAAGTTGCGGAAGTATTTCATACAAAACATAAACCTTCAGGAGAGCATCATGTTCTCTCTCGAACTCTTTCATTCGAATAAGTGTTCGACCAATGCAACTAAGATTTACAGCAAAGACTCCATCTTACTAACCTACATCATATACACTTATCTGACTACTTTCCTGGCCACTCCTCATAGACTTAAACTCAACACAGATTCATCCGTGAAATTGAAAGGTGCTCGTCCCAAGCGCCTTAGAAAATATATCAAAGTATATATATCAAATCGGAGAACAACATCTAATTTTAGGCGGATTTTTGGGAAGAGGATGTTGTGGGGGATTGTTGTGAGGAATGTTTGGAGCATTTGAGCAAAAGGCTCAGAAATGCCCTTGACAAAAATGGGACTCCAAAACATTTGGCTAATATCATCATGAGGAGTAGAGTTGCCCTCACTGTCATAGCCGTTGGTGTTGTTTGAAAAAGACATGGTTGTTCAAAGTACGTAACTTTTTTACTGAGTGAGTGAGTGAAGATTCACCAAAACTCTTGATGGTCTTTCTTCTAGCTCCAATTGTTGATAATTGAATGCTACCAAACTAATTCAAATATAAGAAAAAGCTAATTTTCTTTATAAAGAAAAATCGTCTCAGAGATGAGAGATCGACACTGAGTAATAACCGAGAGATCAGGTGTATGATTGTTTATATATCCTTAAATGCGTGTCCTTTTAGTACATTTAATGCGGAGTTTATATACAAATAAAGTTAAAACATATTGATGGTCGTTTATCAACTAAGGGTGTGAAATACGGATACATGTAAAGTAGAATCACATTCATAATGACGGTCAAAGATGTTTTTAATGATGAGACAGTTTAGGTGTTTACTTTATTAGTTTTCGTGCACATTGGGCCGAGAGATCGACATTGGGTATCAGTTGGTGGATCGACACTCATGTTGAAACTGATCGACATGATACTTGTGGACCGGCATACGATATTTTGTCTTCTTGGAATTATGGGCGTTCAACGATGGTGGCCCAATAAAGAGTAGGGACGACAAGGCCCAAACAGTGTGTGGGTCGGTCCAGAAAAATTCATGTACAACAATATTTATAATATATATTACAAAACAATAAAAATACTTTTGTCAAGTACGCAATTAAAATTTAATAAATTTTACAAATTTGAAATAATATATAATATATTATTAAATTAAGTGTGAGTTTATAATATTTACCATATATTTTTTCACTTTACCATTGTTTATTTAGGTATTTTTGTGAGTATTGTTTATCGATAATTTTTTAGTATGTTATATTCTCATGTTCCTTGATTCTAAACATAACTCTAAAATGACAACTATTTATAATGGGTGCAATATACATATAATATAAGTTTAGAAAGAAAAATAAATATATTAATAGTATATATTGCTATAAATTAGATGACAAACCAACGAATCATCTGTCGAACTATCCATGTAAATTATAAATTTAGAAAGAATATTTAAGATATTTATAATATATATTTTTATAAATTATAATGATACACCAAAAAGTCTTCTTTCGCACAACAATGCAAGTTGTTAGCTTAGAAAAATATATTTATAATATATATTGAAATAAATTATAATATTAAATCAACCAGTGTAGAATAATCATATGTGAATTATCATATTAGAATAAAATCTCGAAATAGTTATAATATACATCATGGACGTATCCAAATGGGCACCTGGGCCTAGTGTCCATTAAAACTAAAAGAATGGCTTAATACTCCATAAATAAAGAAGAAAAATCAAAAACAATATCCTGCTAATCATAGAGAAGACAAATAGAAAAAAATGGGGAAAGAATTATTGAATTTGGTGAAAGTAAATCTATCCATTCTTTTTATTAGGTTGAAAGAAAAAAAATTAAACATTTAACATTCTTATAGCTAATTTGTTGTTGTTTCTTAATTATCTAAAATACTAATGTGAAAAAACATAAATTGTAGGACTCTTAAAGCTTGATATATTAGATAAATAATTTTATACATTGTAATTTATTTTTAATATCAACGTAGGAGAAATATTTTTAGAAATTGGCTAGCAAAAAGTTCATGTGAAAATATCTCAATATTAGTTACTTTTAGTCCAACTATACTTGACGTAAATTCTAAAGTTGTTAAGCCGATAGAAAAAAAATAATAAAAAATTCCACTATGTTATTTTAGAGTGATATTGAACAATGAAAATTCATTAAAATAATTATGGATGTATGCTTTTCTATTTATACTTTTGTTATTAAGTATTATATATGTTTTTAAAAATAATTAGGCCCCCACTCATTTTACGAGCTACATTCACCTTGATATACATGATTATAAATTATAATAAAAATTAACATAATTTTAAGTAATAAATTATATAATTTTAAAATAATACCCTATATTATTTTTAATTAAGTGTCGATTTATAATATTTGCCACAGTTCAACTTCAATATCACTTATTTGAGAATTGAATATATTGTAATAAAATATGATTAAGAGAAGAGAAAGAGGAGTATACTTTTTAGTATTATTTATTGATCTTGTTTGGATATATTAAATTTTTATTTTTTTATATTTTAAACACGAATGCTAAAATTACAGTTTTTTCATAATGGTGAAATGCACATATAAATCATTTTAAATTATTATACATCATAAAAATTAATATTAATATTAAAACTATTTTTATGCTATCGATATTCCTTCACTGTTTTGATTTATATGATTTATCTTTATTATCCCGTGCATTGGCTTATGTGTATATAAAAGAGATGGAAAACTTTTATTATTTGTTAAAAAATAATAAAAGTCAACGTTATTTTTGCCGAAAATATATTTAAAATTTAGACCCCGGAAAATTTCCCCTTTTATTTCATCTTATTTTTTTAACAAAGTTACATTGTTATTCAGTTAGATATTTTAATATTTTTTCCGCACATTTTGTGTTCATTCTTGATTCTGGTACTTTTATCATTTATAAATTTTGATCTTTTGTGATGCAAAACTATAATGTTACTAGTGTAACATCTTGTATTACATGGTATTTCTTAATGGTAATTTTTAAAAATTATGTATGATAGTTGTAAAATTTAAATTTATTAAACATACGTGGTTTCTATGAAAAGCCAGTATATATTTTGTTACTTGCATTGTAGCATATTCTATTGTCTCACACCCATATCAATTTGTTACAAACTAATAATTCAGTCGTATATATTAATTCGACATAATATTGCAGTATTAATAAAACTAGTTGCATAGTAGAACAATTAAACTTACGTTCGTTTAGTTACACTCATAAAAGTACATTAGTAAAACTGATTTTTAACTTGTACTTATATATGTATAGATGCATGAATATCTATATTTAAATTTGTGTCTGTATATAAAATTCATAATAACATTTGTTTATAATTCTATTGTGACGTATATCGAGACAAATTTTATAAATATGACCTTAATCTGTTAACAATGTGTTTCATACAAATGTGACATTTTTTAGAACCCCTATGATAGCTAAATTTCGTTTGTTTCCCCTAATAATTGGCTCAGATCTCATAAATATTTGGTGTTCGTTCCTTGTATTCGTTACTATATTTTTCTATATTCCATAATTATTTTTAAAATAAACTATTTTTAAATTTACTCATTATTTTATGGCCACAATAAGGAAAGTCGTATCATCCCAGGAGCTGTAATGAGGCTTCGACTATAGAGTTCAATCAGCTATTTTTTTTTTTATATTATAATAAAACGGAACTTGAAACGTAAATTAATTTTCTTTTGGCCATGCCGTGCACATGGAAAGGTTAATTTTTTAATGAGTTTTAAAATAAAATCTTTGATCATACTAGATTGTTGGATTAATCTATTATTGAATAATTGGAGTTGATCATATACTTTGTTTAGTTGATCGTATTGAACACTGAACACTTTTTTTATTAGTAGTGATATTCAACACTTTTCGGGATGTTTGGAATTTGGAAATAAGATTTTTTAGTTTTGTTTGGATTTTTTAGTTTCGTGCGATTAATTTTTAATAGAATATAAAAACTATGTTTTCTTAATTGTTTTTAGTTCAAGTTGTCAAAGTTGTGTAAAGTTGCTATAGCAACTCTTGTATAGGCATATTAGTATAAATAGCATAGAGTAATCCCCTCTGTATATAATTTCAGAATGCGCTGAGCCTACGTGGCAAATTCTCATGCTTTG